TCCCACCACCAAAGCTAGGATATTTGCAGTTCCCCCAAAATTGTAGGGGTTTCCAGGAACAATTCTTAGGTTCTAAGCAAAAATCTGCTCGCAACCGAGGCCAAATATTCTTAAGCATGGCTTCGTGGGGGTCTACTGTATAGTATACCATTTACCAGTTTCACCATATGTAAGTAAATAATTCTCAGCGGTATTAAGGACATTCAGAATGTTGTGCAACCATAGTTATCAAGGCAGGATAGGAAAGGGCTATAGAGCTTTGCACCAGAAATAAGTGCTTCAACCTAGAAATCAGACATGTCACTTCTGATGCAGCCTGAAGAACTTGGTTAGAGCTAACAACACGCAGAGGGCAGAGAATGTCTTCCTCCAGTGTCCGCTACATGAGATAAGCACTGGAAGTAGATGTGCCTGGAAGTCTCTACAGCTTTATTCATATCCCTGTTGATGCAAAACTGGCTTCGTGAGAGGAGTCTGGTATCGCATGCTGCCCTCTCCTCTCAGTGTCCGGAGGAAAGGCCTGCTTAATGCTGAGCTGCACACTCAGCCCACAGGTGCGAACGGTATCCTTGGTGTCGGGGAGTGCAGTGCCCTGTTATTCCCTCTCCTCTGCCTCTCTTGTCAGTCCCTTTCCGTGTGTTTGCTTTTGATGGAATCCAGGGCCTTGAACACGCCAGGCAAAGGCACCAACACTGAGCTGCAATCCTGGCCTCTTAAGTCAGTCTTTATTACTAAATTTGGTGGGTTTTTTTTTTCATCTTCTCCTTCTCTTGAAGCTTTTTTTCAAGCACACAATTCAGCTTCCCTGTAAGCAGTGAGTGCCATACCAGCCCATCAGATTGATTTGTGTGTATCTGAATCAAATGGTAGACAGAGATTGCGACTTTTTTTTAGGAAGGTCCTAGGAAATCAGCGGGTTCCCTCCGATTCATATGTTGAAGTTCTCTCACACACACACAGACACACACACCCCGTGTGGCTGTCCTTGGAGGTGGGGACTATAAAAGAAGTAATTAAGGGTAGATGGGGTCATAAGGTTGGGGCCCTAATCAGATAGCATTTGTGCCCTTGTGAGAGATGCCAGAAATTGCTGCTGTACTTGCTCATAGAAATCACCAAGAGGAGGCCATGTGAGAATGTGGAAAGAAGGTAGCAGCGTGCTCCCCGGCCCCCCACCCCCACCCCAAGCAAGCCCTTTCCAAGAACTGATTTGGCTGGGACCTTGATCTCAGACTTTCCAGAACTGCAGGAAAATACACTCTGCACACAGTCTGCGATATTTGGTTATTGTGGCCTGTTATAGTTTATATCTACATGTCCCCAGAGCCTCGTGACACAGAGGCAGGGCTTTAGGAAAGTGATTGGATTCTGGTGCTGTATAGCTGGCTTTCAGTCTGGTGGCAGCATCTGGTGGGAAGAGGTGGCTCCCTGGGGGTGACATGGGAGGGTCTCTCTCCCTGCCTGCCCCTCCCTTTGCTCTCTGCTTCCCCATTGTCATGACCTAAGCAGCTTCTCTCCGCTAAGCCCTTTAGCCATGGCATCCCACCTCAAAGCCAGCTGACTACGGACTGAAAGCTCTAACAAAGGTGAAAAAATAAACCTCTCCTCCTCTTAAAAAAAAAAACAAAACAAAAAAAAACTGGCTTCATTCAATTGCTGACAAAGGTGAACAGTCTTGGCTGGGGATATAGCTCAGTGGCACAGCACCTGCCTGGCAAGCGCAAGGTCTTGAGTTTGATTCCCGGAACCAAAAAAAAAGAAGGTAAACAGTCCTTCTATTAATGTTTCAGTTTTTATAAAGCCATATAAATCTTGGAATAAATGGAAAATGGCTGAGGCAGGAAGATAACAAGTTCACAGCCTGGCAATTTAACAATTCAGTGAGACCCTGTCTCAAAGTTTAAAAAATAAAAAGGTTCTGGGGTGTGGCTGAGGGTGAAAGTTGTGGATTTAATCCCTAGTATTACAAGAGAAAAAAAAGAAAAAAGGTAGATACGGTGGCTACTCAGAAGGCTGAGGCAGGAGGATCACAGGTTCAAGGCTGCTGGGGCAACTTAATAAAACGCTGTCTCAAAATTTTTTTAAATATCAAATGGAATAAAAGGACTAGGGATGTAGTTTAGTGCTCCCTGGGTTCAACCCTCAATGCTGCAAAAATCAAAATAAAATAACAAAGACGAAAGAAGTGAAAAATTAATTTAGAACAAATCATTTGACTTAAATGAAAGGTCAAATCAGTGAGACAGTGATCTGGAAACCCTGAACTGTACTGAAATGTGCTGAACAGTTGCCTTTGGGCCTGTGTTTCTCAGCGTTTGAGGTATGTGTGTGCTGATGCTCCTACAGCAGCGTTAGCTTTATAGTTTTCACACAGTCATTGTGGGGGTCTGGAGAGGATGGTAAATGCTGTAAAACTCTGTACAAGGGCCTGATTGTCTTTTTTAAGAAAGTAGAAATCAGTACTTTTCATTAAATATGCACTCATCTTTTTAGTTCATTCCTGCCCAAAGTTTTATGTTGTTTGTATAAAAAATAAGTGCTAGAGAACTGTAAAATATTTTAATAACTCTAGATTTGTACAGTACAATAAAGGACAAGGAATTACAGTGATAAAGTTCAGACTGCTTTCCAAATTTCACAGCTGTCCTACTTGGGCTTTATTTTCTGATACATCTTACACTCACCTATAATTTTCTGTGCTTTCTGTTTACTCTCTGGACTGGTGGCCTAGCAACTTCATTCATCTTGCAGGTTACTATATGGACCACTCTGGGTTTTTTTGTTTTTGTCTTTTTGAGACAGGGTCTCGCTGTGCAGTTCAGGCCGGCTGTGAGCTCACTTTGTAGCCCAGGCTGGTCTCCAACTTGCAATGATCCTCCTGCCTCAGCCTCCTGAGTGCTGGGATTACAGGCATGTGCCACCATGCCCGGTTATATGGGCCACTCTGAACCTAGCTGCATGCCTGTAATTCCGATACTTTGGAAGGCTGAGGCCTGAGGATTGGAGTTCGAGCCCAGCCTGGCCAACTTAGCAATTTAGTGAGATCCTGTCTCAAAATTAAAAAAGGGCAGGGGATGTATCGAAGTGTAAAGTCCCTGGGTTCAATCCCCAATAGCAAAAAGAAAAAAAAAAGGCCAGGAGAGAAGAATTATCGGTTCCCTCTTCTCTGGCCACTTGTTATTGGAAGGGGCGCTGTCCCTACCTCACCATGTCACAGAGAGCTTTGTTTCATCAGCAAGTGCTATTCTTGAAACTGCGTGTTCATTACAGTGCTTCTGGAAAGAGCAGAGAAAGCGCGGTGTGTTATCCGCGGTTATCTCGTGTCACAGGGGAACTGTATTCACTCCACCTGCGTCTCACACTACTAGACGTGATCCTGGCAGGAGCTGAAAGATTCACAGTGGAGGCTGAGCAAACCCATCCCAGCTGGTTTTTAAAAATCCCTTCCAAGGGGCTGGGGATTTAGCTCAGTGGCACAGTGCTTGCCTGGCAAGCATGAGGTCGTGAGTTCGATTCCCGGTACCGGAAAAAAAAAAAAAAGAAAAAAATCCTTTCCATTCAATTATTTTGAGTAAAATCCCACTGAAAAGTGAAAACTCCATGGCAAATGATAAAAGTGAGGAAATGCCAGGATAATAATATAAACAAGCCAGTTCCAGGCAAAGAGGACGTAAGGTGGCACTACCAGGGCAGAGTGATCAAAGATAACTTAATGACTTATTTCTGCAGTATGTGCCATAGGCTACTAGGCTCCCTACATGTGAGTGTTGCTGTTTTTGGTTACATTTCAGGTAGATCAAAAACTCCAAATACCTTACAGTTTCCCTGAAGGTCCTAGATATCTCATAATTTTCTTTGGGGGCAAGGAAAAAACACATTCTGGCAACTTTAATAAAAACTCATTTTATTTGCTATAAGCGGTGCATACTGAAGTCAGAAGAACCAGCCTAGAAGAAGATACTGGCTAGCCTGCCCGTCTTGTTCAACACTCTAGACTGAGCCAGACGAGTGTATGGCTTCTTCTGCCAGTGCTTTACTATGTCCAGAAGTCAAAGTCCAGGCAGAGTCTGCTCAGCTGACCTAAGTCCCATGCCCCGCCCTGGGCGGTGGCAGAGCCAAGAGGCAGGCTTACAGAAGGGCTCATCCGGGATCTCCTTAGAGTCTCTAGTGGGAGGCAGGCACAGGAATTTTGCCAGGACTACATATATGTAGGAGCATGATTACCCAGGTGGAAATCACGGTGCTGCTGGGAAGTGGAAACGAAGCTCAGTATTCAGAAAAGACCACACCCACCACCTAGAGCGGAAGCTGATCATGTTAATGGTGTGGAAGCCTGTGAATCTTGTAGTCTGTTGGGTGGATATGCTCTCATTTATTCTTTTCCTGTGGTTGCTTCCTCCTCCTCCTCCTTTTCCTCCTCTTCTTCCTCCTCCTCTTCCTTCTCCTCCTCCTCCTCCTTCTCTTCCTCCTCCTTCTCTTCCTCTCCCTCCTCCTTCTCCCTCAGGCATATACACTGAAAACTGTGTTCTTAGGTCTGAAATTGCTGGGTTAAAGGACAAGAACACACTTTTTATTTCAAGAGTGGCTTCCCAGTGGCTAGATACTTGCCTGATTTAAGGTCACCCTGTGGAAACCTCTTACTGGGTCCAATGGGGCATGGGCCTGCTGGGAAATGCATACTCTTCAGAGCGCTTCTCTTTCCTTGTAATTATTTTTATCTCAGTTATCAGGGCAAACCGAGAGGTCACTGCTCAGTGGATCCACAGATCAGAAGAGAGAGGCTCACATTTGCCTGAGGGGATCTGTGCCTGGGGAATGCCTGTGATAGGCATAGCATGGGGCCCGTCTTCTACAGCCCCGGCCCTCCTCTGGCCAAGTCTGCAAAGGCTGGGGGCAGGAAGCAGTCATCGCCCCTAGTGACTTTCCTGAGAAGGGTGTTGGCGTGTGCTGACCTGCAGACTCCCCGATTTCTTCAGAGGATATGAATTTTAATGTGGGAGGGTTGGAGAAGCCTACCCCACACACTCACTTCCTCCCAGCTCCTCCAGAAACACCCGCTTCTCAGCGAGCTTGTCAGACTGGCGGGAGGAAGTGGCAGTGTGCCTTGCTTCACAGTTGCCCAAGAGTCAGCGTATTCCTCCCGGAGAGTGGAGAGCATGGCCGCTTGTGAGTACCTTCAGATCAAGGACTTTTCCCTTAGTATTTCTTGCAGTAGTTACCACAGAGCTTTGCCTACCCAGGCACTCAGTCAATATTTGTCATCCCGATATCCCAAGGTCAGCACGGTAGTTCCAGAACTCCCTCGGAAGTCTCAAGCTATGTCGCTAAGCTAGGATGTCTAGGGCTGCTGGAGGAGGTGCTCCTGCTTTGAAATAACCAGGGAGGTCTGAAGTCCAGGCTCAGGGTTTCCCCGGAAAGCAGAGTGCCTAGCGCAGAGGGGTGAGGCGGGGCCGCCCCTCCCTATCCAGCCTCCTCTGAGCCCGAGGTGCTCCAGCCCCAGCCTGGGGCCTTTTCCAGCTTCTTAGTGTGGTTTCCCACAAAGCCTCCAGAAGAATGCTTCTGTCTTCTGCATCACCACATCAACTTCATGGCACCTCTGCCACGGACTTCTTGGCCTGCAGCTCTTAGCTCAGTTGTCCTCTCTTGGAATAGTCCGAAGTCTCCTGTAAGCTCACCACCTTCAGCTTCCTGGCATTTCTCAGCATTTTCCCTTAACATTTACGCTGCCAGCGACTTGCTATTCCCTTACCCTTCTCCTCTGTCTCTCTGCATGTTACTCCATGAAGCTGGAACTGCGCTTGGTTTTTCCCCACTGGCGGACTGCAGTACAACAGCACAGTCTCTGGCATGTGATGGGTACTCAGTAAATACTCTGGGGATGAGTAGCAGTTTTGCGTATCATACTGTAATCCTGGAAGACACAGAGATTCTGACTTGATTCTGGGTTCAGTCTCTGTAGCCCTTACCCAGGTTGCTGGGAAGACTACGTTCTCAGTGTTGTTCTTCTCAAATTGCACTGCTCAGTTGCTTAGGTCACGAACTCTCACCAGGCTCTATGAAGAGAAAAGTTCTTTAAACATGCAGAGGTTGACTTAGTGGTAGAGCACTTGCTCGGCTCCATTCTCAGCCCTGAAAAAAATGTAACGAGGATGTCAGACACATTTGGGCAGTTATTATACTGTGTGAGGGTTCATCTTTAAGAAAGGTGCACTACCAGAGAGAAAGGGGGGCATCTCTTATTACTCCTTCATACTTTATGATAAAATATACAGTCTATAACATAAAATTTCTCATCTTAACCATTTTTACACATACTGGCACATTATAGTTAAGTAGGTTCACACTGCTGTACAAGCACCACCACTGTATGTATTACTGATGCTAGTTCACGCACTCATTGTGCAGCTCCCTGTATCTGGGTGGATTCACCGTCTCCTGCTCAAATGGCAGCCCCAGAGTGGCTTGGCTACTTGGCCGTCCTCTCCCTTTGACCATAATAACTGCTGAGTGACAGCCTGCAGGGGACGGCAGTGTCCTAACACGGTTTGATGACAGCCGAAGTAGCTATGATAGGGGAGCGTCTTTCCAGCTCGGGAAGGTTTTGTTGTTTTCTTTTCTGTTCCTGTACTGGGGCTAGAACCTGTCTGCCTATGTTGGCCGCCACTGACCATGTAACCCTGAGCCCTTCTGAGACAGGGTCTCGCCGAGTTGCCCAGGCTGGCCTACAACTTGCAATCCTCCTGCCTCCATTTCCCAAGAAGCTGGGCTAACAGGTATGCACCGCTGTATCTAGATAGGAAGAGATTTTTTTTTTAGGAAGCCTGGAAATGTTGAATCTGCTTGGTGGGCAGGAAGCATGCTTTCTGGAGGCTAAAGTCAGCAGGCAGGGCTGGGGGGGCTGAGCTGACAGAGTTGCAGAGGGTGACAGCTGGAGTGTGGGTAGCGGCTTCAGAAGCTGGACCCACCCCTCTGCCGAGGTTTTCAGTGACATAGTCCACTAATTTACTGAAGGAGCATATTCCTTTTAGCATCTTTCTTTGTTTTGTTTTGTTTTCCTTAAGTGATGAGAGAATGCAGCCTCACACATCCAGTCTGGAAGACATCTAAAGATCTTTTATTTCTCGTCATTATATCGTTTATGTTTTGCTATGACTGTAATCTATATCTCTCCCTTGTAAAGGTGTCAGCCTGCAGCACAAACTGCTAGGTGCCTGCTCAGAACCTACTGTCCCTTTTCCCTTTGTGGGAAAATTCAGATTCCATGTCGGGTGGCACCGGACAGCACCTGATAAAATACCACACTTTCCATCTTTGTCTGCAGTAAGGCGTGGCCCTGTGAGTAAGTTCTGGGCCAAGAGATAAAAAAGCAGAAATGCGGTAGGAGATGCTTGGGAAGGCTGAGAGCACAAGCCCACACGGCGGGGTGGGGCCTGCTTATGCTTTCCCTTCTTTCTGCGCAGAAGGCGCCGTGGTCAGCACCTTGTACTGTGAGGTGACTTGAGTGCACAAGGTGCTGCTTCCCTGCAGGATCAGGTGACGCTCCTGACTTCTTGTGCATATGCCAGAGGAGAGAGGGGGAGAGCTATCAAGACATAGCTTATGGCTCTTACCGCTATAATTTCAATTTTTTTGAATAGCCTGAACCGCTCAGGACATTCAGCAGCAGGTGGATGGGAGTTTACAGCTGGCGACCTTGTGACTCACCTGGGAAAGGTGCTCCTGTCTGCAGCCGAACCCACAGAAGGGGCAGGTTTCCTCCCAGATCCTCTCTACTTCATCTGGACTGAGATGTGGCCAGCTTGTATGGGCTCAGTCTTTAACTCATCCAGGGACTGAGCACAGGGAGGGCACTTAGGGGCTGAGTGCTGCCTGCCGTATGTACCTGTGTCCCCCAGGCATCTCAAACTTGACAGGTCTGACTGTAGCACTGCCCACCCCAGTTACCACTGCCAGCACACCGGTTCCGATCGCATGTTCTTTCTGTGCGTGATGTGCGCGGCACTTGTGAGGCCATCTTTCCCACCTTCTTCCCCATTTCCAAAATGCAGGCTCCTGTCCAGTCCTAGGAACTCCCTCTACAATTTATTTTGTTTCTATTCCTTTGGCTCCAATGTCACTTGAAGGGGTAGGACTGGATCCCTATTCCCTGCACAGCTGCTAGGGAGAAGACACAAGGCGGTCACAAGTGTAAAGCTGTCCCGAGGCTTCTGGTAGCATTTGGGTACAACCCAAAGTCCTAAATAGGGTCTGGGAGGCTCTGCACCAACAACCTGGCCTTGCAGACCTTCCCCTCCCAGACACGTAAGGTACTAGCTCAGCCTTACTCCCTAGAACACACCATCCCAGGAGGGTGGCACAGACTTGCCTTCTTTGGATTGTTCCATTTTGGTTCCCCATTTAATGGTTAACTCCCACTGATTTTTTTTTTTTGGTCTTTTTTTTGTTTGTTTTTTTTCCCAGTACCAGGAATCGAACTCACAACCTTGCGCTTGTCAGGCAGGCACTGTGCCGCTGAGCTAAATCCCCAGCCCCTTTTTTGGTCTTTTTTGAAACAAGGTTTCATTATGCAGTTCAGGCTGGCCTTGAACTCACTTTGTTGCCCAGGCTGGCCTCAAACTTGCAGCAATCCTCCTGCTTCAGCCACCCCAGTGCCGGGATTACAGGTGTGTGGCACCGTGCTCTCCCATTGATTCTTCTGGACATTGATTTAATGACGCTTCTTCCGTAAGGCCTTCCTTGATCCCACCTCCAACCTGTATCAGGTTCTGGGATTATAACCTTTCACAGACCTCTTCACTGGAATTCCACAGTATTTTCATTTATTTTTAATTTTTGTTCCTTTTTGGCAGTGTTGGGGATGGAACCCATGGCCTCATACATGCTAGGCAAGCGCTGTACCATTGAGCCACACCCCAGCCCTAGCACTTTACCTGACTGAGTGTGTGTGTATGCTTGATTTTGGAATAGGACTTTCCCTTTTAAGACACAAGTACAGTGAGGACTGCACTGTTTTGGGTGTTCCTGCATCACTAGCACCCAGCACTGCTGCTCTGAACAGAAGGGTAACGTATTAATGAGCTGCAGGTGGAACTGGGAACTCAGTAACAGCTGCTTCTGTGATCACGTTCCTTGAGGTCCGACTCCCACGGTGGAAGGCTGTGAGGGAAGGGCTCCCCTGGCCGGCACACTGCCCCCGCTCCGCCCTGCCTCTCTTCTCCTCATCCCCGCCTTCAGCCACTTCTCCCCAGGCCATCTTCCTCCTCCTTTTCACCTCATCATCGTCACTTTCGGCAGGCATTTCACAAAACCAGTTTCATCTAATCATCTCAATCAAGACAGCTGGGATGACCCTGTCTCCATTTCACAGAGAGCTGGACAGCTGTTAGGCAATGAATGGAGAACTGGAACGTCCAGATGTTGGTTTCTCTTCACTTAGCTCTCCTGTGCATGGCACAAGGCAGTGGAATAACACAGGACTACTTAAGCCCCTTCACTCATGGCGGTGGTAACAGACCTAGTCAGTATCACATCCACCTGCCTGAAAGCACTGTGTGCACATGCGCGGGTGTGGTAACACGTAATCATTTAAAAGTTTTTTTTTTTTTTTTTTTTTTTTGCGGTGCTGAGGATCAAACCTAGGGCCTTGCACATACTGGCCAAATGATCTACCACTGAGCGGTATACCTAGCTTATTTATTTTTTTCCTTTCATCATGTTGCAAACATTTAAATAACTTGTTTTGCTCGAAATAGCTAAAGAACTGGCCACATTGAGTGAATCAGTTTTAGTGGCTGAGAGTGGAACGTAGTCAGGGAGGACAGGCAGTTGCTTGGAGCAGCGCTTTCTTTGGTTTTGTTTTGTTTTAAAACTCTTTACTGAGATATATTTCACATACCAAAAAACCTACTCATTAAAAGTTTACAATGCAGTGGCTTTGTTATATTCAGAGTTGTGCAACCATTACCAAAATATAAGTTTAAAATATTTTCATTAGCTCCCCCCCATCCCTTCTACATTCCCCCAACCTGCCAAAACACCAGTGTACTTGTCTGCATGAATTTCTCTGTTCTGAACATTTCATATGAATGGATAATATCACCAGTGGCTTCTGTGACTGGCTTCTTTCTCTTTGCTTACTGTGTTCATAGTCCACCGTGCTGTAGCTCGGATCAGCACTGTGTGGATTCATATTCCATCCTATGGTGGGACATGCCTGTAACCCCGGCAGTCTGGGAGGGCTGCTCCAGTCCAGCCTGGGCAACTGTGTAACTCAGTGAAACTCTGTCTCAAAATAAAAAACAAATAAAAGGGTTGGGGACGTAGCTCAGTGTGAAGGCCTAGGGTTCAATCCCCAGAACTGGAAAAAACCCATTATTTTTTCGAACTCAGGACCTCGTGCTTGCCAGGCAGGCATCGTGCCAATGAGGTATATCCCAGGCCCCTAAAATGCATTGTATGGAGACACCTACATTTTGTTTATTCATTCAATAGCCGATAGTTATGGGGTTGACTCCCCTTTCTGGCTACTATGAACAGTGCAATGAACATTTCTGCACAAGTATTTGTGCGTGTGTGTTTGTTCCTCCCGGGCGCATCTCTAAACTGGAACTGCCAGTCCTGTAGGACCTGAGTTCCAGTCCTCAGGCAGCCCCTTCAGGAGGGAAGCCCAGAGGACAGAGCTTCCTGTTTGTTTACACCTCTTGGGTTCGCCAGCGGCTTTCCTATTTGCCTCTTTTATTCTTTTTTCCTCTCTAGACTCCAATTCCTTGTTGATTTTAGTAGGAATGTGGAACCAGTTACTTGTACACCGTCTTGAAGTCGTTGGAGGATAGACATTAGTGTTTATCTGTGCGTTAGGCGTGCGTGATGCTGTGGTGCTGTTTTCTAACCAAAGAGTTGCTTGAGTAGGAGGCTTATTTAACTTATTCCAGAGGGTTACAGTCCTCCTGCTCCTTGTCCTGACAGACTTTCAATTACCCAGCGCAGAGTCTGAATGTTTTAAAGAATCACTTTGAAGTTTCTTGGTAATATTATAAAATTATTAGTCAACCTATAATATGTAAGTCTATGTTGTGAGCTTGTGAAAATGTATGCAGTTCCCAGTGTGTGCCTGAAACATCACAATAATTGTACTAGGGGTTGAACTCAGGGCCTTTGCAGTTACATTCCCAGTCTAGCTAAATCACGAAACTGCCTACACTTGGCTCAAATTTGTTATCCTCCTGCCTCAGCCTCCTTGCTCTTAGCGCTGGAATTACAGGCAAGCGCATGGCTGACGCATAGTAATTGCTTAATAACTTAAGTTGCTGTTATGAAGAGTCACCGTAATGAGTGAATGTTCCTTTTAGGCACACATTTCAATAAAGTATTAACGTTCCGGGGCCACAGTTGTGTTTCACAACGCAGGGGCTAGGAACGCTTTTCGGGGTGCACTGACATGAATTTGAACATCACCTCTACCCGGTGAAAACCACTCGTCTCCCGGTGTTTGCTTCCTGGGGGTTATTTTTAGTATAATAAAGCTGGCCTCTCCCGCCTCAAGGCAGTTGCACGCGCGGGACACGACAGAAACGAGGTTCCCCTGCTCCGCCGCCGTGGCTCCCAAGACGTGGATGAGCAGAGACGCCGCGGCCGCGGGAGCGCCGAGTGCGCCGGGAAGCGCGGGGAACGCGGATCGCAGACCCACGCCAGGCAGCGCGCCCGCGCGCGCGCAGGGACGACTGCTCTCCCGACGCTCGGCGCTCGAGCGTTCGGGTTCCCCGCCTGGGGCGCCGCGGGTGAGTCACCCCGCAGCGGGAGCCGCGGCGAGGGGAGGGGCGGGCGCCGGGGTGGAGGAGAGCAGAGGGACGCCGCTCCAGAGCGAGGACGCCTCGGAAGGAAGAGGAGGGGCGACTGCGCGTGGGGAAGAGAAGGAAGAGGCGTCCGGAGAAGCGAACGGAAGGGAAGGGAAGGGAGGGTGGCGGAGCGGGCGGGAGACGCCGGCGGGCGGGGAGAGGAGCGCGGGGCGGGTCCGG